TAGGAAGACGGGATGCTGCATGCTTCCTCGCCCCTCTTCATGAGGGTCCTTTTCAGTGTGGGCATAATTTTTTTAATTATCGGTCAATCCAAATTATTGACATGTTGAACACGTTTGTCAATCTCCCAGTGGGTTTGAGTTTTCCGTTCCAAACTGTATCCCCTTTAACATCCTTCAGTGCCCACTGAATGTGAAATAGTTGGGGGGGGGTTTTTCTCCCTCCTAAAAAATTTTACTTTCTGAGCTTAGAATAGTAGACGAGTTGAATAGTTGCTGACAATATTGATGAAGGGTTATTGCATAAATTTTCTTTTTCCCTACAGGGCGGCAGATACCCTTTGAACCTGGATGGCTACGAGCAAATATTTGCAAACTTTTTGATCGGGAAGACACCACACGGCCCAGGAAAATATATCTTTGGCTGCTTCAAACACGACAACACCAACTGGCAACTGATCGCACCCTTATCAACACATGATGATGCTCACTCTGCGAAACCAAAGGAAGAAAATAAAATTGTGCAAGAGAAGAGGCCTAAGAAGTTTGGTGTTCTGTTCACTTAAATATGTATTTGAGCTTTGTCACTTCAGCTCTCTGTCCAGTAATAACGAGAACAGGCGTGTGATTGGGGCATATATTTAGATATTTGCCATTGATTCCCCATGATAAACCATCAAATGATATTGCAAAATGAATGCCAAATTGAGTGTTGCTCCTAATTTTCCAATTTTGCTCTTTTTTTCGACATATTATAGGCTAATTAACTGCACAAATACAGTTATTGTGAGGCCTTCAATATTGGTCGAAGAGGGGATTGTGGTGGGGGGTTTCTTTGTACAGAAAAAATATCACTGAATGCATATCTCTGCAATTAGCTTTTGGTAGTGAGAAATACTACAAGGAATACAAAATAATGACGCACAATCCTTTACGCTTTGTAAGACATGAGGAACTGCATTTTTGCCCCCATCGCCACATAAGAAAAATTGATAAAAAGCACTTGTCAAATTGATCATGAAGAGATTAATGAGTTTGGATGATGATCAGATTTTTAAAAAAGGGTTCTCTGCAACATGACCTGCCATAAACCAAACTTGCTTATTTTTTAAAACTTATCAGACTATATTTTACGAATGCCTTATTTTTTTCCCGGCAAGGTGAGACCTCTCAGAATTACTTTTAGACCAGTTAAAATTGAAAGAACAGATATATTGATCTTGTTTGCTTCTTTGAGAATATTCCTGCCTTCTGATGAATCTGTCCGTACATTCTCTACCGACTCAGGGTGTTTTGCTGATATTTATTCAATTTCACTTTGATGAAGCTCATATTTTTTGACTCGATGTTTGTGATGGTTGCTTTCTACTGACAATATTATGTGAGACATCGTTGTAAAATCAGGCGCTCGTCAAAATAATGGCTTCAAAGAAAACAGCATATTTCTGCCCATTTTGAAATTTTTATCGTATTTTAATTTTTTGGCTGACCACCTTTTATATGCATTTAAAAATGCATTTATGTGTGGGTTTTTTACTGAAAAACCTTAATTAAAGACACAAAAAATGTAAATTTTCAGTTTCCAAAGGCTCTCAAGTTATGTAAGTCACCAAACTTTTTCAGTCTTTTTATCGCATATTATTTCTCTGAAACCAGGCTATCTTCGCCTTCTTCAACCACAAATATAGTGAATTGTTCATTAAAGGTATGTGGGTATTTTTTTCATCATAAGATAGAGAAATTTACAAGGTGAAAGCTGATACTGATACCAAAAACTCAACATGCCCAAAATTGACGAGCGCATGATTCCACCTCATCATGATTGTTTCATCTGTGAGTGTGTCCTGACAAAGCAGTGTCATGAAAATGATTTATGCTTCAAAAGCAATTTTTTGTATGTTCCATTTTTTTAAACACTGCTCACATCCTGTGAATACTTTGCCGGTATGATTATTTTGTTTATGATCTCAAACTCAAAAAGTGTTTTCCTTGGATTGTACCCAACTTTTCTTGCAGCATAATTATTTTATTCCCGTGTTCACTTTTTGTAACAGTTTTTGATTGTTCAGCACATATTCTCATAAAGCTTAGAAGTGCTATATGGAATATGTTGCTAGATGTAGGAAAGAGCTGTGCAGGAGAACTGATTCCCTCTATGCGTTAATTTATCCTAAAATATTATGTACGTTATTTAGCGCCCTTCTTTTAAGAGGATGACCGTGTGGAACTTGTAGAGGAGTCACAGGAATGCATGTTTAGAAAAGTGAGAACATATGGAATAACGTCAAGAGGCTAGCCCAGGATAGGGAAAGATGGAAAGTGTTTGTTTGTGGCCATGTGCAATACCCTGATGCAGGGTGAGAAAGGCAGTGACGGTAATGATGAGCACACTTCGTAGAAGTTTAGTCGAAATTGTCTGCGAGGCACACCCATTCAAGGTGTCAGTGACGGGTTTACATCTTGGCCAGTGTTGTTATAATATGTGTCACAGTGTGGTGGAATCATGCTGGTGCTTGCCAAAATAATAAAATCAAAGAAACCAACATTTGTCCATCCTTTTTACTATTTCTATTGATTTTTACATTTTTGGATCAATACCTTTAGCATTCATTTAAAACATATTCCAGCTTGAATTTAACAGAAAAACTTTATTGATGAAAGGCAAAAAAATGCTTTGTAAACTGCCAAAGCTTGGCGGTCATTTCCTTGATAATTTTATCTCTGATACCAGGTGACCACCAAATATCTCGACTTCTATTTAAAATAGATGGGTATTCTTTTTCAGGATAAGCAAGGCAAATGTATAGGCTTTAGTATGATACCAAGAGCTCCAGTAGCCCCAAAATTGACAAGCGCCAGATTCCACCGTGTCGTGATACTTTTCAATACAAAAACCCATAGAGGGAAGAGGGAATTGGTTAAGTTTCTTCTCAGCTTCATCATTAATTTTGTAGCTGGAAGATGTAACGCCTTCGTTTCCAGACCTTCTGTATAATCCTATCAAAGAGTTCACAGCATCTAGAGCAAGGCAGTGTAAAAGGGTTTAAAATAAAGTGGAATTCTCTTCATACTTCATACTGGCTGAGGCTGAGGCCTTCTGATTACTTTTGGGTTCTCCTCTGGGTTTTTTAAAGTTTTTTTTTACCTGGCATCTCCTCTGGTTTTTCTTTTTTTTTTTTTACCTGGCATTTTTTCATTTGCACATTTACTAACACTGTGTATCTTAACCAAGGTGAAAGAATTTGTCATTGTCTGCCTGATTATGAGTATGAGCATGGATAGTGCGAATGTGTCCCCTTTGTAGTCATGTTATTTTAATTGATCTCCACTGTACCGGTACATGAATATTTCCTTGGCTTTGCTTGGCATTCAGCGAGAAATTTTATCCACTGAAGCTGACAAAACAGCCACCAGCTGTTAAAATGTGTTAAGCTCAAAATATATTTTGAATATTTCTTAAAATTGAAGAATCTATTTCTGTGATACAGGCTGCACGTGTTTAAGAAACATTTTGTTGAAATTCAATATCTAAATGTTGAAAAAGCAAAAACTAATGTGTAATGGCCTACAATTCGTTAAAATAAAATTGTTTTTTCTCTCTGCTGAAAAATTTTGCTTTATGGTCCAAGTACTTTTTCATAGCTTGCCAATGAAATGTTATATAAGACCTGGCTGTGGATATTGAATATCCAAGGCTGGCAGCAAAATTCTGACAAACGCCAAATAGCATAATGGCATTTGTCGGAGTCTGGCATCCAAGTCTCAGCCCCAGCAGGACTGTCATCACTGCTAAAGTTACCTCTGATATTATACACATATATTTAGTTTCTTTCCTCCTGCAAATAATATTTCAAAATATGATAGTAACTGCTAGGGCGTTGTTCTGCAGATGATACAACTACTACGTCAAAATAAAAATGTTATTTGATATATATATATAAGTTCTGAAAGGAAAATTCTTCAAGTTCTTGTTTCAACTTCACAGAGAATGTTTGTTTGTTTCATTTAATCCATACAATAAAACTGCAATGTTTATTTGAGAACAGAATAATATTATTCTCTTTCTGAAAAGAATAATATTCCTTTTTTAAAAAGAAGAATAATGTTATTTTATTTCTAAGAAAAAGACTATTATATCCTGTAAAGCCCTTAATTGACCTTTAACTAACACCCCATTCAGTAGAGTTAAAAAAAAATCTGTATAATATCATAATGCCACCCTTGTGTTAAATCCGGCTAAATCCTGTGACATAAATTTTACTGGAGAAACTAAACAAAAACTTCCTTGGTTTCATCACACACCATGTTGTGGCCCACTTTTATTTTTAACATTTTGAAAGCTTTTCTTGTCAGAATTCCCACCTGTCTCTGACCCAGTATGTCAATAATAAAAAAGCATAGTTTACCATCGATTTATCAAATTAAATTAAAAAATTGACAATATTTTGTTGGTTAGCCAGTCTGTTCATGAGGGCGGCAATAAGTTTTGAAAAAACCCTACTCTTGATCCTCATCTGTAATTCACATCTGCTGTTTGTTATTCTTTTATCTTTTCATTTGGGTTGACATTACCAACTTCTCAGCTTTCTAATACCTTATACATATATTGATATATTCTTTGTACAAGGATATAATCTCTGTTTGCCTTTCAAAAGTTCTAGGTTTTAATTGAGTGTGGTCTTAATTATAATTAATTATCCTCCCAGGAAAATTTTTTTCCAGCCGTAAATTCCTGCACAGAACCAGAGATTCTCCACCTTTGAAAAGATCACATTGCGTTAAAAAGGGCAGTATTAAAATTCAACAAGACTGTCCTCGGGGTTTTATGCACCCCGCCCGCATAATTTAGCAAAATTTGATTATTTTCCTTTATCATTCTTTATTAAAATATTGGAAATTAACAGAATCACATATAATTTCACATTTTTGGGCTCTGTTTGCATAATTTCAGAATCTTTTTTTGCATAAAACCGCGGGGACAGACAAGAGATGTTACAATTGCATTTATGTAGATCTACAGCATGCTCTGTGTGCTATATGACTGTCATTACTCCAGAAGATCACACAACACTCTGAGACACTCCAGGAAGCATCCTGGGAAGCATACAGTGTAAGCAGCCATTTAAGAACTCAAATACTTACAAATGGACAAAGATCTTTCACTGTCTATGATAGTGTTCCGATCATACGACTGGGAAGTGCTACTTTCTTGTCTGGCATGCCGCATTCCTTGGCGCTACACGACAATTTTGCCTATGCTGTGTGTTTTTCTGTTTCTGACTTTTAGGATAGGCTATAAATTGCGCTGATAGACATTTAAAAAATACCTATATTTTTCTATTTTTCATTAAATAAAAAAGAAATACAGGTATTAAAAAAATTTCTCTCTTATCTTTTCTGAAAATCTCTCTCTTCTCTTTTCTTAAAATCCTCTCTCTTCTCTTTTCTTAAAATCTCTCTCTTCTCAAGAAAAGAGAAGAGAGAGATTTAAAAAATGTATTAAAAAAACTAATTCTGACCCGGGGGGATCCTATTTAAAAGTAATGCATAAACTCAACAGTCTGCTCTATATGATGTCATTGCAGACTGTTTTATGTTTCTGTTGTAGAATCTCTACCCTCTAATATTTTTATGAAATAAACCTATCATATATTGAAAATACAATGTGCTTTTTAGTATGTTTTTTTTCTTTGTATGGTTCTCTCAAGAAATGCCTCTTTTCAACTCCTACTTATGTTACTGATTTTTGAATTGCAAGTGCAGTAAAAATCTTACTAAAACCGTACTCATTTACACAGTCTAGATCGTATAGCAGGTGGGCAGTATAGTCCTGCCTGCCAATGTCAACCAGGGCTGAGATGGAAATAAGGTCCCAGCTGAAAGATTGTGATGTTCGTGAAAAATTCTCCCTACACAGGAATCGAATGTGGGTATTGTGTGAGTGATGGCGAAATGCTTAATGGTTACACCAAAATTGCCAGTATACCGTTTTTGATGAAAAAGAACAAATATTAAATAAATTTATACTTAAAGTTGACACCTGTATCCATCATAAACAATATACAAATATTAATTCACGTAAAGTAAGCTATATTTTTGAGCGAGAAAGTTATAATATTAACATCACTAAAGATTTTGAGGATATAATATGAACACCAGTTATCTTTACTGAAATTACTTGTAGATGATAACCCAGCGGTATAAAATCCATTTCGAACTGTTCCCATAACATAAATAAGACTCCTCACTTATTTTATTCATCTATGCGAGTGTTCTGCTTCGGTTGCTCTGTGACATGGCACTTCGTGTAAAGTCCACCTTTGTGGGTGGTTGGTGGGTGGTTTGGTGTGGTCTGCTTTTTGTTTGCTATCAAACGTTGATCATCCTTTACATCTCTCCTCCTTCTTTTCTTTCTACGTTATTGTCTAGCAACATCTCTAATGTTTGGCATATATATGACCTATTTGTGTTTGAAGTGACATAAAACACTGAAACAAATAAAATCAAGCTTCTTGTAATGTCCATTTTTTTTAGGAGTCTGAATGGTCTCAGTCTAAACTAGTGCTTGCCAACCTGGGTCGTACAACCAACTAGTGAGCGACTTATTAATTTTGGTAGGAGGTGAGGATCATACGTGTAGTGACAGCTATATTTTTATGTGCTGTTAGGAAATACATATTAAGTCACAATAAGTGGGGGGTAAGAACATTTTTGCTTCTTAAGGTGTTAAAAGTGGGCACTGGCAATAAAAAGGTTGACAAACACAAGCCTCAACCATGAGTCTACTTCTTTTCGTGATCTAAGATTTAAGGAGGACCTTGTTTATAAAAGAGTCTTGGCAAGAAAAGAAAAAGAAAAACTTTGAATTTCAATCAATGAGGTTACATTTATTGGACAGCATTACAGGACAGACAAAATACCGAATTTCCAGATTCGAAAAATAGTTATCTCTCTGTGAGTTTACAAAAGACCAGTGAAAAAAATTACCGTCCAACACTCCGATGTCTTGCCAGAAAAAAGAGCAGCTAAAACCAAGCAATTTCTCCTCATCCCTGTCACCTCACATTTTTAAACAAATCATCAAAGTGCTGTAAATTCTTTCATTCCAACAGATGCAATAAAAGATTGTGAAAGATCAGATAAGAACTCTAGGTCGAGGATAGTGATTACCGTGTGCACTATACTGTGACAATTTCCTGTTTCCGTTATGGGCAGGGCTGCTGTCAAAAGTAACTCAGAGTGCTTACTTGATGATGAGAGAGGAAAATAAAAAATATTGTAGGAACTAAGCAACGTTCTGAGGATTTTTATTATTCCTGGGCAGCTTTGAGGATTTCAATTTAAGCCAGAGAACCTTCTTACAAAATGTATTTAACAAAAACTCAAAAACCATGATAAACAGTCATCAGCAGATATGAGTTTTGAAAAAATATTGATGGTATAAGTTGGTACTCTGACAGTTTTGGCTGTTTCCTATGCCAGACACGTCATTGAGCAAGCATAGTTTGCTGTTCAGAGGAGATATTGAGTTCTTGAACACTTAGGAGTTTGTGCCTGTGTCCATGTCTCCTCTCCTGTCGCCCCATCCCTGATTGGATGAGGTGACTAATGGTCATCAACTCTCCTTTTGGAGGGACAAAAAAGGGGGCGGGGTTATTTTGTCCATGTTACTTACTCATTCTCTTCAGTAGTTGGACATTATATAATACCAATAACTTCACAGTAAAATCTCATTAAAATCTGGTTAACTAGATATCGCCATCATTAATAATGAACACTTTTGTGATAAATTGCCTGATTGACAAATACGCAAGAGTGGAAACTCTTATTTTGGCAATGATTTGGCAATGGTGTTCCTGAGAGAAAACTGTGAACAAGGACAATTCAATATTCATTTTTCAAGAAAGATAAAAGTTCAGGGAAATCAATCCTTGATAATAACAAACATTTTTGCAGTAAAAGATTGTCATGCTACCACCAACAAAAAATATTACACAGAATCCAGTCTCACTTCACTATCAGAAAAGTCTCCTCTGCTGACCTCCGATGAGCTAAAAATGTGGGTCAGTTTAGTTCATTTAATTCACACTTCAAATTAGCAATATTTGTAGTTGGTGTAAAATCACTCTCCTCTGAAAGTATAATCGTAAAGAGTATCTTGAGAATAGGGAACAGGATAAAGCATTTCATTGAGTGTCTCACTGGTAGTTAAATTGTTGAAAAAGTTGGAGTTTTTGCCTACATTACTCTACTAAGTCAAGAGTTGTAAGCTGTGAGAATGCTTTCTTCAATACAAAAAGAAAGTATGGTGCTAAAGGTGAGTTTGTAATAGAACCAGCTTCTTTTGTTACGAATGGCAAGAAAAAGCTTTTAGGAAATACACACAGAGAATCTTTCACCAAAAAAAAAAAAAAGATGATGTTAAAATTCTAACTTATGCATAGCACTAGAGACAATGCTGGAGTGGACAATTCAAAGACTATAATAGGATCAAAGAAGGCTGAATGGAAAACAGTGGATATCTCTCAGAAGTAAAGTCGTCAATATGTTACAGACTGTAACTCATATATTGAAGAAGCTCATTGCACAAGCAACAAATAATATTGAAAAGGTGGCAAACTATGTAATGCATTTCTAAAACATACATAAATTGAAATTCATACAAACCGAATTGTGTATGATAAAAGTAAAAGCTTTGCTGTTCGCATAAATGAAGCAGACTAAGTCATAGTTCTACGTCATGTACACAGAATATTGTAATAATTTTATAGGTTTTCCGTATGCATAACAAACAAAAGTATATATATTTACACAAATATCTTTTAAGCTTAAGCATAAATATTCTAAAAGATGAACCGAAAACAATCAAGATTTAAAGTGAATAAATCTTAGCAAGAAAGCAAAAAGATAAAAGAAAACATTTTCAACTTTGTTACAATCATGGAGAAAGAACTTCTTGCAGAGAAAAAAGGAAATGCTCCAAGCCTCAAACTTGTTACACAGGTGAAAATTTTGACCTTTGACACTTTGTCGGACTTTTTGACCAAAAAAAAAATAACAATGGGTAAGTTTCCCCTCTTACATATTAAATAAAAAATTAACATGGATGAGTGACAAAAAGATTGACCTACATAGTCAACAATTACCAATAACAATAAAATTCATGGTAGATTAGAGAAATATTTCTTCCAAATTCTATAAGAATAATTTTTATATATTCATTCTTTTCTTCTGAATCATGAACTATGTACACAGCCATAGGAATATCTTTCAAAATAGCAAGTGGAAGAAAATCAGGACAGGAGTATTCTCTCAGCTATTATGCATAGTAAATATCAGCAAGTCCATTTGTTTGTGATTGTTGTGCAATGTTTCCTGTCAAACAAAGCAAAAAAATCTCTGTCTACCATCGTTGTACTATGTTGACTCCCATCATATCCTTGGTTAAGCTCTGTCTACCTCTTACAAATGCAAAATAGTAACACATCCCTTGCGCCATTCTAGCATGATTCCAAATGTATTGACCCTGTGTCTTCTTTAGAACATATCGGGGAAGCAAGTCAAGATCTGAAATAAGGGAAATAGTAGGCCTACTTGGGCCGTCTACTTTCTTTATGTCTACTGCCCAGGCAAAGCTTTATAATACATGCTGCTCTAAGAGCGTCTGTCAAGACACAAAAGGCCATACAAGGGTCATACTGTCATTGCAATATGTTGACCATTACCATATTGTACGAAAAAGGAGTTGGGTATTGGCATAAAAAAGGAGTCAATAGTAACAGTCTCCACAGAGGTACTGGAAACTGGAAGTCCTTTAAAGACACAGGTGAATGAGAGAAGGGAAAACAAGGATTGTTAGAAAGCCTGCTGGCTAATCAAAAAGTCCAGAAATGTGATCAGCTTGATTGTGTCTGTTCACAAGAAGAACATCATTCAGTTTTTTTTATTGGTGGGTATGTCTCCAACTTTGCTGCTGTTTTATTTGCAGTTTTAAATCAGAAGGTGATTCAGCAAATGCGGTACACGAGCTAAAGCATTCACATTTCAAAGTCCAAAAAGTTTACTTATGCAGAGAAGCATAAAAAAAGAAGATGAATGTTTTATGTATTAATGGGTTGATTAAAAAAATAAACCTCATGAAGAAAATTTTCTTCTTTATGATTTAAAAACATTCCTATTTCACATGATTGCTGTAAGCCGAAAACTGCCAAAACAGTTTAGCTCAAAGACATGATTTGTGGTAAGCCTCACTATAATAGAACAATGCAGAACATATGTGACTGTTCATACACACAAGCAGATGCAGATAATTAGAACAGCTCATTGTCTCTGAAGCAAAAATTTCGTTGCTCTATACTCGTAGAGAACTCTAAACAACCGTCATTATCTTTCCTCCTTCTGTTCTTAGTATGTTACTGTATAGTAACACTTCTCATTGTCAGCATTTATATATGACCTAAGAGTGTTGTGAGTGCTGAAAAACTTGTACTAAAACTAGAAAACAGCTGTCACAAACTGTGGAAGACATATGGACTGCCCGGTATTTGTCCTTTCATTGACATGTGCTAACAGAATTAGAAATGCCTGTTGCTAAGTCTGTCTGAGGTATGCTCGAGCACATGCGCTTGCACACACCTGTGTCTGGGTTTGTATTTCTGTCCAAGTGTGCGTGTGAGTGTATGTGTGTGTGTGTGTTTGTTTGCATCTGTGTGTGTGTGTGTGTGTGTGTGTGTGTTTGTTTGTTTGCATTTGTGTGTGTATGTGTGTGTGTGTATGTGTGTGTGTGTGTGTGTGTGTGTGTGTGTGTGTGTGTGTATGTGTGTGTGTGTGTGTGTGTGTGAGACATCTCGTGAGATGCGTTGCCAACACAAAGGAGAACATCTATGTTAATCGTAATAGTTTATCTGACTGCTCGTTCTCACTCTCAGGTAACACAAACATACACACACACAAACACACAAACACACACACATACGCACATGCAAACACAAGTTTACTCAAACAAATAAACCTATGCAAACACGCACACATTCATTTATACACTCAGTCTGAACAAACACCCAGGAGCAGTCTGCTAGAGAGAGAGACACAATACGATGAAATAGAATCAGCTGGCATTGGGGTCCGCCATCTCTGGCACTCCCTGGGGAACTTCATTCTCCTCCTCATCTGGATTAAACTCGTTCGAAAACGTGACTGGCACTTTGTCTCTCTTGAATAGCAGCTCTCTCTTCCATGGGGGCATGGCTGCAAGCTCCTCCGGGTCTATGCTCAAAGCAGCAGGAACGATATCCCCTGGTGAACCGAAACAAAGGTTTGGTTGGAGTTCATAATAATAATGAAAAGCATTTGTGGGACCTTGTGGTGAAATCAGGCACTTGTCAAAATAATGAAATTAAATTGCAGAAACTCGCTTTTCTATCTGCTGGGCTATTTTCATATACTTTTCCCTCTTCTTCTTTTTTTTTTTGGCTCAGCACGTTTTATGTCCAGTTAAAAACACATTTCTATGTGGATTTTTCTGGAATACATTGAACAAACGCACCCAAAAAAAAAAAAAGAAAAGAAATTGGCAATTTCAAAGGACACTCTTGCTTTGAAAATCACCCAGCTTTGGCAGTCATTTACCGGCTAATTTTGGTTCTAACAGTGGGTGATCCCTACCTCATTTAATCGCAAAATATTTCGACTTCTATTCAAGATAAATGGGTATTTATTCAATTAAAAGCAAGATAAATGAAGAAGCTTTCAGATGATTTCAAGAACTTCATCACCCAAAACCTGAGAGCGCCTGATTTGACTACATCATGATACATTTTTGTATGGCTCATATCCCCGCTTAACAGCAAGCCCTAAATGCTTTACAGACTATAACATTACCCCAGTAGACCTTAAGTTTGGTAAAAGTTGATAAGATATGATACAAATATGATACAATAAGAAAAAAAAAAGTAATTGTAGAAGTTTTAATTTGTGAAATTTCCGATTTATGTCTGGTTTTGATTGGCACTGACATGTAATATGTAAACTTTCATAACTGTAGTGTCCTGAAAAAGACCCAAGACTTTAACCAGAAAAGAACAAGGCCTCCATTAGTTTTTAAAAATGTTTTAAAAAGGGAAGAAAAAAAAATCCCCCCTCTTCTAGCAAGTTTGTTTGTTACCTTTGGCTTTTGGCTGTACGAAATCGTCATAACTGGCGGGCTGCGCGGCAGGTGCAGCGGGTTTCTTTCCGCTGGGTGCAGGGGATGCTACGGGAGTCACCCCTGCTGCTGCATCCTCCTGTGGGCACAGAGGGAGAGAGAGTGGATGAGTGAGGGAGTGAAAGAGAGAAAGAGTGAGGGATAATGAGTGAGGAAGTGAAAGACAGAGGCAGTGAGTGTGGATGAGTGAAGGAGTAAAAGAGAGAGACAATGAGTGTGGATGAGTGAGGGAGTGAAAGAAAGACAGTGGATGAATGAGGGAGTGAAAGACAGAGACATTGGGCGTGGATGAGTTTGTTTTGTTTGTTTTGTTTTCCATCCTCTGTTGCTGTTAAGCATTGAGGGGAGATGCAGTTTTCTATGGTAAGCCAGCTCCGCAGCTCTTTCAGTTGTGATATTAAATGATATTTAGTGACAGAGACAGTGAGTGTGGATGAGTGAGGGAGTGAAAGAAAGAGGCAGTGAGTGTGGATGAGTGAGGGAGAGAAAGACAGAGACAGTGAGTGTGGATGGGTGAGGGAGTGAAAGAAAGAGGCAGTGAGTGTGGATGAGTGAGGGAGAGAAAGACAGAGACAGTGAGTGTGGATGGGTGAGGGAGTGAAAGACAGAGACATTGGGCGTGGATGAGTTTGTTTTGTTTTCCATCCTCTGTTGCTGTTAAGCATTGAAGGGAGATGCAGTTTTCTATGGTAAGCCAGCTCCGCAGCTCTTTCCGTTGTGATATTATATGATATTAAGTGACAGAGACAGTGAGTGTGGATGAGTGAGGGAGAGAAAGACAGAGACAGTGAGTGTGGATGGGTGAGGGAGTGAAAGACAAAGACAGTGAGTGGGAATGAGTGAGAGAGTGAAAGAGAGAGACAGTGGATGAGTAAGGGAGTGAAAGACAGAGACAGTGAATGTGAATAAATGAGGGACTGAAAGACAGAGGTAGTGGGTGCGGATAAGTGAGGGAGTCAAAGGCTGACAGAAGGGGAGTGAGCGAGTGAGTGAGTGAGTGAGTGAGTGAGTGAGTGAGTGAGTGAGTGAGTGAGTGAGTGAGTGAGTGAGTGAGTGAGTGAGTGAGTGAGTGAGTGAATAAGTGAGCGAGAGACAGACAACAGACAGAGAAAACGGTTGAGTAAGGGAGTGATTGACAAGCAGAGATAGAGAAAGTGGATGTGTGAGTGAGGGAGTGACAGACAGATAATTAAGAAAACATGAGTGAGTGAGTG